CCTTTCCATGTATGGAACCAGGCCACCCAGGTCATCTAAGAGAATCTCTTCTACATAAAGCTAACTGATTCTGGACTTAAATCACATCTGTAAAATACCTTCCCAGGACCGCCGGAATCTGTGTTCGATTGAGTGGTAGGAACGGCAGCCTAGTCCAGCTGACACATGGAGATAGCACCGTGGGGGTCAGACTGTGATTTCCTGAAAACTGGAAGGCGGGTTTGGGCTGGTCTTTCACAGCACCATGGGCCCTGCTACGACAGTCCAGGATGGGTGGGGGCAGCGGAGAATTTCAAATCAAGGGACTCAAAGAATCTCTGAGGGAAAGCGGTTGATGCTTTGGAATGGAGAGCGTATGAGTCTTTCAGGAGGTTTCCGTGATGGGCAGTCATGCCCTTTGCCTACACAGGAGACCCTGGAAGGGTGAAGGGACACAGCAGAAGAGGGTAAAGAGGTGACCAAGGTCCTGTGACTGTGGACAGTAAGGCTTGGGTTCTCGGGGTCAGCTGACCGCGGGGGAAGAGCAGTTTCCTCTCAGCTCAGACATGTGACACTCCCTTCTGAGGAAGAGGGACACATGGGTCTTGTTCCTAAACCATGAGAACTGCAATTCTTTTGAGTACGTATGGACCCAAAGGATCAAGTGCAGATGTGGCTGCCTTCCTGCCAAACCAGCCCCTTCCTCGAGAGGACACATCCCTGACGGCAAATCCGAGCTGGGGGCTCGCCCCCTGTACCCCCTGCTCCTCTTTAAACGGCAAAGGTCGGTCTGTCTACCTTTTTGCATCACGTCATTCCTTTTGTTGTGTGTCCCAGGCTGTAGGGTCCCTCTGGACTTTGCTCTGTTCCATGAGGATGTTGGGCCCAGATGTGCTGTTTCCTCTCCCCTCCGGGGAAACCCTTGCTTAGAGAGAGGGCCCCCTCCGGCATCGCCTCCTCCAGAGGCCCCCCCCTCCAGTCCCTCGCACGTGCCTACGCAGTGCCAGTCCCGCACCGGGGGGCCGCCCACCACTCTTCCGTGGGGCAGGTGTAATTATTACATGCCAGTCTCTCTCACATGAGTGAACTCCCAGAAGACAGGAGTTAAGACTTACTTAACTTTGTGTCTGCCCCAGTGTCTCATCTATGGCCAGGCATAGAGTTGGGCTCGCCGTTTATTGAACATATATTTATTCAGCACCCACCATGTGTGCCAGGCCACAGATATTCACTGTTCTAGAAAGGAGCAGTATAGTTGAGATAAACTGTCTCCTTTTATGGAGGTGACATTCTGAGGGCGGAGGAGACAGCCAGGGACCAAGATAAGTCAAATCACAGGCACGGGGTCCTGCGTGTGAGAGAGGAGTGGGGGCCAGGTTGCCAGAACTCCTCCTTGGCCCTGCCGGTCTGCCGAGTGAAGAGGCGCACCTTTGCTACTGTTCCGTTCTGGGTACGAGCCACTGACGTTAGTCTTATACTTAGGATGGCATGGATCACGCTGTTGCTTTTTATGGACCAGATCACACATAGAGGCTAACTAAAAACAAGAGTCCGCGGCAATGTACGTTTGGGATGTTATTTCTGTGCTGAATAATGAACAGCTGACTTCCTTATTTTTAATTTTTTGGAGCATTTGCAACGGACTAGACTCTGTTCCAAGCACTGTAAATGGATGATGTCATTCAGTCCTTGGAACACCCTGAGGGGACGGGCATTCTCCCCATTTGGCACAGGAGGAAGGGGGCGCACAGCGATGTCACTGGTCCCAGACTTCCCGGGTGAGAATGGGTCAAACCCAGCCTGTCCTTGCTCACCGGAGGCCCTGCTCTGAAGTGATGCTCTGCCCGGCCCATGTGGAGTCGGCAAAATCAAAGCGAGTGCAAGGCTTTCCTGCATTAACCGAGTTTCTGCTCCGAGGCAGCCATTCCTCAGTGACAGAAGCTGTCGTCAGCCCTGATCACAGATCCCATTGACCTTCCTGATGGGCACTGTGGCTTCCCTCTTCAATTCTGGTCTGCCTTTCTGTGAGGACTTTAAAGTTATTAATGCCCATATTAATAGTTCTTTTTTTAAAAGATTTTATTTATTTTTAGACAGAAGGGAAGGGAGGGAGATGTGTGCTTGCCTCTCAAGTGCCCCCTACTGGGGACCCAGACTGCAATCCAGGTTGTGCCCTGACTGGGAATCAAACCTGTGACCCTTTGGTTCGTAGGTTGGTGCTCAATCTACTGAGCCACACCAGCCAGGGCTAATAGTTCTTTTACTTACATTTTTTATTCCAAGATACAAAACACTGATTTAAAGACACTGCTTCAGGGGAAAGGAAGAGAGAGAAGGCTGGTGAACTGTAGCTGGGGGAGGCTGGGGTGGCAGGGACGGGGCTGCCTTCTGAGCAGCAGCCGCTTCCACGCAGGCACAGAGCCTCCGCCAGGTCTAGTCTTTACTGCATCCTCCAGGCACTGGGAAGAGAACGCTTGGATCAGGGTGATGAAGTAGCTTGTGCTGAGTACACACAGCAGGTATTTGAACCCAGCCAGCTCTGCCTGTCGGCGGTTTGAATGCTGCAGTGGTTTTCGCACAGAGTCCTCAAGGCCCTTGGATCTCAGGAAGGTGGGAGCCAGCGCTGCAGGAGTCTCCGTGGGGGCCTGGGAGCCCGCACCTTTATTTCATCTCGGTCAGACTCCCACCCAGTGCCCCGCACCCTGACGGCATCTCAGGGACCCCTGGGAACCTGCAGAGCATTTGCTAAAGTCACCCTTCTGTCGGTGCTCTCATGGATGTTGACCAGTCGATGAACTCTTCCTTGCAAGGATAAATGCAAGGTCTAGGTCCTTTTCCCTTTTGCAAGGAAGTGGAGTACAACTCGTGTGTGTGTGGGGGGGTGGTTCAGGTCCTCTCCGCCCCTGTGATGTTGGGCAAGTAACCCACCCTCACGGCAGCTTTGGTTTTTGACCTTGAAAATGGGAAAAGAGTTATTATGATGGTTAAATCAGCATTACAAAAACAAAACAAAACCTAAGCCCAATGCCTTTTAACAAATGTTAGTTTATTGCAATCATCAGAAATGCTTCATCCCCATTCCACATTTCCAGGAGGAGAGATTATTGCTAAACCCTCCTGGCCTCTTCACCGCCCCCCCAGGGTCTGTTCCCTATTAGACTGATTGTTCGGGAAGAATAGGCTGAGTCCCCTTTTTCCTCTTGGGAAGGAACCCGCCTTAGCTCTTACCTCAACAGGCAACTAATCCGAGGGTTCAGTTAGCCATGTGCCGGTTCTTGCCCCAAGCCTGGTTCCTCATGATTGCTAAAAAATGGGGTTCTGTCGAGTGACTCTTATTACTCAGTTCATTTAGAAAGCAAGCAAGAAAGAGGTAAGCTATGATTTTAGCCTCTTTAATACGCCACAGTTAGTATTTGCTCTCTCCCTCTCCAATTCTCATAGTCAGACTTTTAGAGTTGAAAGGAAACTTTGTTTTAAATGACTGAAATTCATTTCACCATGTTGTCCCTGAGCCTTCCCTGCAGGTGGCCATTCAGGTCTTGTCTGCACATTTCCAGTGATGGATAATGACCTCGGCGGCTTCCTCAAGGGGCGGCCCAAGGTGTCTGGCCGAGGGTGCTCTGGCTTGGGCGTCACCCATGGAGGGTTTGGTTCCGCAGTGTTGGGCTCTCGGGCCTGCACGGGCATGGTATACAATGTTCAGGGAGGGTTTCTTTGGGAGACAGTACTGGCTTGAAGCCTCAGGGAGACAGCGAACATTCTCTGTGTTTCTGGCATCTGATCCTGAGAAATTCCCCACCTCCCTGGTGCACCTGCCGCATGCATCCTCAGCAAATCCTAGCTCATGCCTTGTCTTAAACGAGGCCGGAGAATGAGCCTCAGGGCATGTTGTCACCTGGGTGCACCCAGGTGGGCCCTGCAGAGATGTGGCTCCCATGAGGTCACCTCCTGAAAGCTGAGTGTGGTACGTACTCTGGTGACAGAAAATAAAACTGGCTACAGAATTCTATTTTCAGTGCCGATGATGCTAACTGAGCACTTCGGAACCCTCACCTCCAGTGTGGAGGTGAGGGTTGCCCAGTGGAGACGGACCAATTTGGGATCTGCTCGTGTCTGCTCTTTGTGCTTACCTTTAAGGCAGCAGCCAGTGGGAGCTAGCAAATGATAAGACACCAAACCTTAATAACCTTTAAAAAATAATAGCTTCGTTGACATATAATCTCCCCTCCCCCATACTGACCTTTGTAAAGTGCGCAACTCAGTGGTTGTCAGAGTACTCATAGATTTGTGAAACCATCACCACAGGCCACTTTAGAGTGTTTTCAGCGCTCAGGAGAGAAACTGCACGCATTAGCATCCGGTCTCCACTCCTCCGCCCCCCCCCCCCCACCTTTGGAATCCCCTCACCTACCTCCCGTCTCTGTGGGTGTGGCTATCCTGGACAGCTCATCCGTGGAGTCACACACATGCAGACTTTGTGCCTGGATTCTGTCGCTTAGTTGACTGTTTTCAGAGTTCTTCCCATCGCACCAGCACCCATGGTACTTCATTTCCTCTTATGGCTGAGTAACATTCCGTGGACGGGGTTTGCCGAGTTGTGTTCATCCGTCCTTTCCACATTTTGGCTATTGTGAATAATGTCTCTATAACATTCAGGTACAATTGTTGTGTGCACATAAATTTTCAGTTGTCTTGGGTATATGTGAGCAGAATTACTGGGTCATAGCCCTTTAAAAACCTTTAATATGGCTGTTTTGCTTTGCTATTTTGGGCCCCGTATTCCCATTCTTTGGATATATATTCACTTCCTCTGTGCCGACTGTTGTCTGTGATTTGATAGAAAGTTAGCACATCTGGTACCCAGTTTAAAGTTGTTTGTAGAAATAATTAAAAATGATTCAAGTGAGGATAAACAGACATAAGGATGCTTATTATAGTCTCCACCAGGTCATATTCTCCTTGTACTCTTCTCTGCCCAGCTTCAATGGGAAGATTTACAAAGATTTTTTTTTCTTTTCCAGAATCGCAATGAAATAAAAAATGGCACTATCCTTCGATTAACTACATCTCCGGTAAGTTGATCTTCATTTATAGCTTCCCAGTGAACGCTTTGCTCTCCTGTCCCTCCTCATGTGACTATGGATGTTAATATTTGACAATGACTTTGGTGCAAAACAGGAGGTTTCTGGAATGTCCTCACGTGCAGCTTCTAGGTCATCAGGAATGGGCTTTCCTGTGCTTCCCATGGCAGACGAGGGAGCCTATGCTCCAGGTGAAGTGCAGGTGAACTGACTGTACGGGTCGGGTAGGTAGTCTTCTCCACACTTCTCATGTCACAGCTGGGCTGGCTCAGCTGCCCCAGTGGGTTCTTCTCCATCTGCCCACACGCCTGCCTCCCACTGTGAGAGCAAAGTCATACAAGAAACAAGCAAAACCAGAGACAGCCTGTTACTTCCTCACAAAGTCATTGGGTGTGTGTGTACAGCTGTGAGGGTGCCTACGTGTGCACCCATGTGCATGTGTGAAAGAGAGCACTTAAGCATTTTTCCAGTTTGGTCAGGTATTATAACAGTTCATACAAATGTAAACTCAAGAGATACCGGCACTTATGCTGTCTCATTGACGGCTGATTCTGGATTGAACGTTTTGAAGATCTTTGGAATGAAAGCTGCCACACAGAGGGCGGGACTGTTCCGACCAGTGACGACAGGGCTTATCTTTGTGTTTCTTACTTGCTTGTAGACGCTTTAGGTAGTACCTACCGTTCGCATGTTTAAACTGTATTATTTCACTGTGAATTTTCTTGCTTTTCTAAAAAATAATCTGCACAAAATACACCAAGTGTTACTATTTTCACTCTGCATATGTGATGAAAACTGCGTCTAACTCTCTTTCAGTTTCTACTGAAGCCATGTGGTGGGCTAAAAATAAATTTGAAAATTGGGTAAAGCATCTGGCTAAAATTAAATTGTGGGTACTGTAACTACCACAAATTCTTCTTGCTGAAAATTATATTAGAGAGGCTTAAGAACGCCTGAACGTTCTGCCCAGTGACATCTTGAACCTGAACACAGTGATGAGCGCAGCAGCACCCAGTGCTGGACGTGGCGGCCTCTCTTGCTATGCCTTCTTTTCCACTTCATGGCAATTACCATTTCTACTCATTTTCCAGTGGCTCCATGATGAGCTGAGACATTTTTGTCGGACTTGGCACTGATCTTCTCCCTTGAGTCAGCAAGAATTAATGTTAATTTGACCTTCAGAGGCCGCGGTTTCTCTGGGTTTTTGTAGTTCCCGTTTATCTCGCTGGGCCTCCTCCTTTGCTTGCTGGTCAGAAAGAGCACGTCTCGCATTTTGTTTCATTGGAGAATTAGGCTTCGTTTTTAATTTTAATTTTTTAAAGTTTGGTCAGTTTAGAAGGCCCCAAAGAAGTTAGTTCTCTCTCTCTCTCTCTCTCTCTCTGTCTCTCTCTTTATGGCCACGTGTTCATGACCAGAATTTCCCCAGTGCTAAGCCACTCCTCGAGAGAAGGCGGTGTGTGTGGTGGAGGGAAGTCAGTCGGCACCCTGGAAGCACGCACACTGAGGATGGTGTGGCTCTGTCCAGCACAATGGGGTTTGTCCTGTGCAGGCAGTGACCTCTACAGTCCCACAGATGCTGGGGCACAGATGTGACAGCTTGCGCTCAGGAGGATTTATAAGATGAAGCCCACCTTCAAATGACTGGCTCCCATTTTCTAAAGATCAGTGGACCCCACAGTGGGACCCAGAGAGGAACTTCAGAATGTGGATGTCTGGGCCCTTCATGAGAAGCTGAGTCGTGATGTCTAGGAATGGAGTTCAGGGACCTGCGTCTGAAGGAAGTGCTTGATGGTTGGCTGTAGCCAGCTGCTGTGTCTGGATTTGGGAATCACAGTGTAAGCCAGATAGTTTGGATTTGCAAACTTCACTTGTTTCTGGTAGATTATATGTTTTATTATTTTGTGTTTAACTGAAAAATATGGTTCAGCATATGCTAACTCTTTCACTTTCTACATGTGCACTAAAAATATGTTTACGAAAACGGTCTCCATCAAATTTGCTAGGAAGTGTTAGAGAGGCACGGGGAAGCCAGCATTGGTGTTATACGGGCTTTTACAGTCCCTCATCCACCGCAGCCGGACTCTCTCTGCAGCTAGATGAGAATGCCCGTGCACCCACCTGTGTGCACACCCTACCTGCATAGATACACCCACATACATAGATACACCCACATACATACACTCATGCACACACACGCACCTGCTCTTGTTTTAGATTCTATGCAGCTGTGCTGAGTTTTACCTCCACTCAATTAAAGGTGGTGTTTTTATTGATTTTTGTTGATGAATATGTTTTCTGTCTTCCTCTGTCTCAGAGCAACCCTTTCTGGATTGTTTCTGGCAAAAATAGGAGACTGATAAGAAAAAATCTTAAAAAAGAGCAGCATCGTTACTCTTATAAAAGCCCTTCCACTCGGCCGATGGTCCTCCTCTGCATTGCACAGCTCAGCCAGTAACCGGAGCGGCCATGTGCACACGCGTGTTGTTCAGGCATCATATCTCTGTCCTGTGTCCCCCCCATCACGGACATACAGCCACGGGCGTGCCTGCAAGTGGGTGTGATGATGTGTGTGTGTGCACTGTCAGAGTTTGGGGAGCTTCCGGTGCTGCAGCTAAGTGGTGTTTTTCTTCCACCGGCCATGGCGGTAACAGCTGTGCAGATGGCCCCGGAGGTCGCAGGCTGCCTGGAGCTGAGCGCAGGTAAAGTTTGGCTGCTGCGCTGTAGAAGAAACGTGGGGTTGCCAGACCATTGGGCTTACTTCCCTGAAATTTTGTCGTAAAAAGTCCTCACGATGAATCTGTTTGTGGTCTTGCCATGTGAGAAGCCTGTCCACCCGCAGCACAAGACCCACAAGGACAAGAAGGTTGATAAAGTTTTATGTTTGGAAAGAATTCCAGAAGCAAAGTCAAAACCAGCACACCGTTGGCAAAAATAGCAAAAATCAATTGGCATTATACATGATAAATCGAGGGCTAATTCCTTAGCTTGCAGGGATTATAAATAAATAAGCAAACTTAACCCAAAACAGATGGTAGAAATGGATAAGCAAAAATGATCTATATGTTTCTCTACATCAGTCTCTCTCTATCTCTGCCGATCTATATGTCTATATATCTATTTATCTTGGCAAGCAAAGCCAGGATAAATATAAGTGTATATATATAGACCTATAGCTCTAGATAATAGGTGTGTGTGTGTGTGTGTGTGTGTATAATATATGTGTGTGTGTGTGTATATATATATATATATATATATAATATAGATCCTAGGTATATTTATAGAGCTATAGCTATCCTATATACATGAAAGAAGAAGCTCAATCTCTCTCCTAAGAGAGACGGAAATCTACCCTCCTCAGTAATAAAGGTGTGAGGCAAGATGCTACGATGTTGAGAGTATGGACTGGAACAGCCTCTTGGAGGGGCAGTGTAGCTGTGTCCACCCAAGTTGAACGTGCATGTGTCTTTTTCTGACAGTTGAACTGCTGGGGATTTATCCAATAGACAGACTCTTCAGGACACACACCGCCCCCCTCCATCCACACAGGGCTGTGTGCACCATCATTATTAGCAACCAAAAACTGGGATCCTGGTAACTGTCAGCTGAGTTAAGTCCATTAGGTCATATCCTAGTGACAGAACCGTGCCTAGCAGTAGCAACAGTGTGGCATGTGCTGCCTTCAGACGTCACCGAGTGTCAAGTGCAAAGGCAGGTTGCAGACCCTTCTTTCTGCACAGAGCGAAGCCAGTTAGGTACGTGGAAAGGAGGTACCTGAAATGCCAAATACAGGATAAGTTCATTCTCAAGGGATAACTTTACAATGGGGAATATTGTGTTCATTTTATTTTATAACTACTGGTGGTACTTACATATTTTTTTTTACCATGTGCTGGTATTAAATAGACACAAATATCCTAAGGCCACTACAGTGTATAGGAGATGAGTCATAATGTTCTATGTTAAAGACATTTCAGTATTCCAAACTGTTCAATTTTAAGAGCCCTTTATGTGTGACCCGGAATTCTTCTTGCTCATCATTTCGGCCATGTGGACATTGTAAATAAAACGGCCCAACAAATACCTACTATTGCTTTGTCATCCCTGAGCATAATTCTCCCTTTCTGCTCTCTCTTGTTCGGGGACCAGTATTAGAGGCACCCCAGCCAGAGGGCCGGTCACACTGGTTTTGAGGACTAGTTACTCTGGCAGAAAGCAAAATGGGGTTACTCAGTCACTCTGTGGTTTCGGGTTATCAGAGGCTGGCAACAAAAAGACCATTAACAGTTTTTAAACCAATTTTTCTTTACTGACTTGAGAAACCATACAAGGGTTGTAAGCGTCTGAAGGTCTATTTCTGGCCATCGTTCTATGAGCCCGAGTTAGAGAGAAGCAGCCAGGAGAGGTATGTGGGCAGAGGAGGGACAAGATCCCTCTGGCTGCTGCCCAAGAGCAGAACACCAGGGCGGACAGAGGACAGGTTAGGGCTTTGTCACAGCAGGAGGTGGGGAGTGTGGGCTGCCGTGGGGCAGGGAGGGCTGCAGGAGGGTGTGGAGGGAGAGCCCCCGGGACTTTCTGTGGATGGATGTGGCACAGGTGTCCCTGGTGTTTGCGAGAGGTGACCAGTGGTGCTGCTGATAGGATAGGAGGTTGGGAAGGGGACAGCGAAGGGCGTGGGATGCTGTTACGTGTCCAGGAGGACATGTCAACCAGGCAGTCAGGTGTGTCTCCTGGGCAGCCACCACCATGTGTGTGATGGGCTGGATGAGGTCCTGGGAGGAAGGTGGAGCCCTGGGCACACTGCTAGATTTAGAGGGGGAGGCAGCCAAGAAGCCCAGAGAAGAAAGTGTTTCAAAGGGGAGGGAGACAGGAGGTATGTTGAAAGCTGCCGAGAGGGTGGGGAAGGTTAAATGAGGGAAGTGACCCCTGGACCTGTGGCCTGGAGATACTGATAACATCCTGGGGACCCCCCATCCCTCAGTGTACTGGTGAGG